ATGAATGGACTAGTGTAAATCATGGAAATCTCTGGTTTGATAAACTAATATGTTAAAACTTTGTTAGATCTTCTAAGAAGATAAAATTAGGTGAGTTTATTCACTATTTGGATGATAAGTGGATTGAGTCCAATGTGATCTTAAGGATGTGTGGTTATGTATGGAAATATATTAGGTACCATACTGATACAATATGTGGACATCTAGGTTCCTCAACAGGTTATAACTAGATGAGCAAAATTAAAATTGTTTAGCATCTATGCACAAACGAAAGTGAGACGTGATTTTGAGAGATGGAAATTTCTAAAAGATACAATAATTGCACAAAAAAGGCCAGGATATATATAATTTTCATGATTTTATTGAGTTGTTTGTATTTTGGACAAGTGTTTTAATTTGATGACTTAAATTGATTGATAATTGATGCCTAGAGTTTCATAATTTTGATAAACTAGTTAAGATATAGTGTTGTTAAAAGATCACCTGGTTGGATGTCAATGTGACGGATGGATAGGCGTAGCACAAAAGAAGGATCAATTACAAGAGGAAGGCAGGGTCGAGTTGGGTTAAGCCTGAATCCTTCCTTATGGAAGTAGGGTGGGATATCGTCTACAAGATATGTATAGTCCTTGTTGTTCACCTCCGCTTCTCGACGCTGACGACCCCTATCAAGACCTTTTTCCTTTAGAGTTGTCTGACTTCTCGGTGATCGAATAAGAGAAGTTTTTACCACTTTCTCCAGCACTCTCGGACTAATCATCTTGTTGCAACAAAGCAAGCCTGGGAATGAATCTAATGGAAATTCAGGTCTCTATCCGCTTGAAAGATTATTCTTTCCTCCTCTGTGAAAGAAGGAAAGACAGGTGTGTTGGAGACAAAATTCAAAAAACAGAGAAGCTAAAGTCCAGAGGATAAGGTTTCCAGATGTAATCGTGAATCGAAACATTAAGTTGTCGACGGATAATATGGTTTTATGCAATCATGAATCAAAACATTAAGTTGTCGACGGATAATATGGGTTTATATATACTTACACTTTTATAATTGAATGCATTATAATTCCAAGTGTAGGTTGGATACCATATTACTTGGTCCCCTATGGATGTTGGATTGTGATATGTCAAAAAGGATGCTGAGTTGTATTGTATATTTCCATATTGATTTGCTAATGATTTGTGATGAATTTGATGAAGTGTGACTTACGAGTTTGAAAATATTTTCATTACTGAGGCCATACAAATTGAAAATTCCAGAAGCTTTATCTATCTATCTATCTATATATATATATATATATATATATATATATATTAAATATACGGTTCATCCTTACAAAAAGGAATAGATCTAAACGATATAGTTTAATTCGCATCTCTTTCAAGAGATTTTGATGTAAAGGAAGGAGATGTTTCAAAAACAAACAATTTGTTCATAGACATATTTGAATGCATAGTCTTCTTTACATATTCCGCAAATATATCTACTACTAAGTTAGTCTCCCTTATTATAAGCTTCATTGTTGATCTTCCCATCAATAGGAGCATTGACCTACAATCCGATTAAATGTGTGAATGTGTTGGTTTAGCACTTTCCAAGGTGTAAATTAATACCTGAGAGTCGGTCTCCACAAGCAAATGATTAATGTTTATTTTATGCGCTAGGTTCAAACTTGAAGCAAAGCTAGTAGCTTCGCATGATGGTCATTAACGACTTTTACTTTACAAAAAAAACCTATAATCGAACTACCTAGTTGTTCCCTTATTACTCCACCCTTTCCACCCATTTTTGAGTTTTTATCAAAAGAACCATCAAAATTTAGTTTAAGCATTCCTTCAGGCGGACGGTGTCATGCTACAGGGTCATAAATCAAGGGAGTTTTTTGGTCGGAGTGAATAAATGATAGTACTCTATTGCCTGGAAAGAGATACTTTGTAGTGTACTAGGAAGTCTACTAGTGTGTTGGTTTTTAAAGAGCATATTGATCTTGTTCTTTCAGATATTCCAGAGAATTATCGGGACTAGGCTAGGAGTGGGTACTATTTGTGAGTTAGATAGTGAAGTGTATCGCCTTATTGAGCATAATTTTTGAATTTCATTTTGGATATTTTTTCTAGTGATGACAATGCCATACTTATTCTATATATTTTTTGCATATGGACAATTAATAATAATATGAGTTATATTTGCTTCTTTATTTGTAGAAGAGTAGCAAGTTGTATAGTTTATTATGTTTCTATTGTACATGGCTAATGATCGGAGTTGTAACACCACGTATCCGGAAATGGGAAATGAAACAATTTTTAGGAAGTTGCAAGTGTCAACCAAGAAGGTTAACCATGGCCCGTGGATAGAACCACATATCGTAGTGTGGTCTGGCAACCTTGCCAAGGTTGTAGAGGCTCATGACCACAGCCTGACTATGAACTATAGGTCAAAACGTGGTCCATAGTCGGGGTCCATAGTTCACTGGGCAAAAAGAAGGTTTCTGACCACCATCAAAGGTCGTGCAGGACGGTCCATCGTCCTGACCATGGTCCGTTAGTAGGATCTCGTAGGTCATGCTGGCAGCTAAAGTTTCAGGGTTAGTTGGGTCTTTTCCTAATTAAATTATATTAGTACTATGTCGTTTTGCCTATGTTTAGGACCCCCTATATAAAGGTTTTAAACCTCAAATTAGTTCATTCAAGTCATTCTCTGAAATTCACCAAAATAAACCAAAAGTTTTTCTACTTCAAATATTTCTCTCTCCAGAAGTTGAAGAAGAAAGGTGAAGCTAGGATTAAGGACAAGTCTCCATTGCTCAAGAATTTGTGGGATTTGATATGAAATTGTGATGGATTTTTATTCATGGAATCCTTTCTTCCATGTAGTCCCCTAGATTCCACAATCTAAAAGTAGAAATTCCTCAATTTGAGTTAGGGTTTTCTTCTAATGTTGTGGGTCATGACGAATGTTGATCCAATAGAGTGAATAAGATTGCTTATAATTGAATTGATAGGAATACATGTTTTTAGGATGAATTTATATGTCCCGTTTTTTACCCATGTTTTAGAGTTGGAATTGACATAATTGGGTTTGATTCTATGAAAGGAAGATTTATGGGTTTAGATGTATCCTTGTAGGATTGATGAATTATGATTAAAATTTCTTTGAGATTGATGCTTATGAGATGATTATGATATTGAATTGCTTGAGAGTAAAGCATACAGAATGAATATGAGATATAGTGTTTTGAGAGTAAAGCTAATGTTGTCAATTGTTGATTCTTGATGTAATTTTGTGGAAGAGATAGTTTCCACATTAATTGATTATTTATGTACAATAAATGATTCTAGGTTAAAAAGATTATATTGCTTACCTTTGACCTCTAAATGAGATGAATATGAGGTGATCACCCATATCCTTTAAAATAGAATAAGAATATATTACCCTTATTCCTTGAAGTTGAACAAGAGGCGACTACCCATATTCTTTAGATATGAATTGGACAACTGGCGAGTACTCATGATCCTTATAGAAAGACAAGGGGTGAATACCCATGTCACATGATGTTAGACTAGAGGCGAGTACCTGTGATCCAAAGGTTATGAAGGGCTAGATGTGACTACGTTTGTTCCTTTATAATAAGGCAAGAGGCGATTCCCCATGTCTATAAAAGGTAAGCTAGACTATGTTATCATAAGTTATGAGCTTGTGTTATTGCTTGAGTTACCTTCCATGATGGGTAAGGATGATTTGAGGTTAGTTCAAGAAGTATTGAGGTTAGTTCAAGAAGTATTCTTTTTATGTGGAAATGATCTATTATGTACATTGATTATGCTTTTATGACTTATGTTGTCTAACTCTTATGTTTATGTTGATGTTTACGCGAGATATCATATTTAGTACATTTTTGTACTAATGCATATACTGGCCTGCATTTTTTATCCAAATGTAGGGTTCGACGATGTTTCTGACTCTTATCCTCGTGCCTAGGATCTATGGTAGAGGCAAGGTTGAAGATTGGTGAGTCCTCATAGCATTAAAAGATGTGACCACTACTTTTCTTATGTTTTCTTCATGTAGGATTGAACATTGTTGTATGGGTTGTGTCCCAATGATTCTATTGTATTAGATGGTTTTTGAGACAAGTATATTAGACTTTTGCTTCGTTTGATAAAGACTTTGATTGTGTTGAAAATGGTTGAAATTTTTATCGATTTTCTATTATCTTGACTATGAATGTTAAATGTCTTATAGGAGGCCTCTCGGGATCTTGTGTGCCATGTTACATCTAGGGGGTACCCCTAGGTCGTGACAGGAGTTTTTCTAAAGTTGACAACCAAAGGAAACTTTTTATTTTGTGTATAGATAAGGTTTTTAATACCAGTGGTGATTGAGGTTCTTATTGATAGTGGGATTACAAGTTTCTGATATACAAATATTGTAAGCCCCTTTGGTGCTAATATTTCTATCGTTGCTTTTGGTCCAAGAATAATTATCACTTCTTTGGGGAGAGGTTCGGATGTAGGTATTTGAATTGCCTCACTTATTGTTTTAGGAATCTCGAAGGATAATTTTGATAAGTTCCAGTTATTATTAATGATAAGTTGTGATAGTGATGTGTTGAAGTCATTTTTATTTAGAGGAACTTTGATTGATTTACGAAGAGAGTATGAGGTTTCAATCCAGTTGTCATTCCATATCTTAATTTTATTCTTATTTTCCACATTCCATGACATTCCCTTATTTCATAAGGGAAAGGTTTTACTAAGACTTTTTCAAATGTATGAGTCATAGATAAAGTATTTAGTCAAGCTATGATGCCTATCAGTGCATAGTGTGTGTACTGACGTTATTTCTTCACTTTCTTTAAATGTGGAATGTGATCTAGAGATGTCTACGAGACCTCGCATCTAGTTGAGTTGCTTCCAGATCTGAGGGGAGCTACTTTCATCTGCGATACTGTAAATCTTGTTATTGACTATATGTCTTTCTCTCGAGGTATTTGAACTATTTATTATTTTGTTATTGCTACTCTTAGAAATTTTAGTTAGATATTTCAGTATGATGAGTTCCAAATTTTGAATTTTTAATAATTTAGACTTCCACTATTTATTGATTTATTTTGAGACTTTGATTTTATTCTATTGTGTTCTCATATTCTAGCTAGAACGGGAAGATATTGCATGAGCTAGAATGTTAAGTGTTGATTCGATAATTGTGATTATAAAATTTAATAGTTACTTTTCTCGTTGGAGATATCCTCCTCCTTTTCTTGTTATAATATGTCAGTATGACGCCACAAAAGCGTGAGCAAATATAATGGGCATAAAGTATAATTCAGAATTGACCCCATATGTCATCCACACAGCCTAATTCATCTCTCACTCAAAACAAAACAACACTCAAAAAGTGGGCATTCCAAACCACAAAACCAAAAAGTAATCTTAAGAAAACAAAAGGGGGGAATTATGGGTCCCTTTCACAATCCATTACTACCTACTCAGGCCCCAGATATACTGAATGGTGTCTCATGTTGATTATCAATTATAATAATTGATTAACTTTTTTTACATCTAATGACCTTCTATAATCCTCTAGCAACAATCATGTTCAACAGCTCACTTATTCATTAACAGACCATTAACTAAAATAATGAAGGTAGAGTGTACAAAAATTTATTACTATCTCGTGGAGATAGAAAAACTAAGTGTGAAAAATCCAAATATAAAGAATAACAACGAAAAATAACAAATCGTAAAAAGAGTGATAATTGAAACATAATAAATAACAAATGATGACAAGTAAAATACAACGACTAACACCAGTAAACCTAAATTTTCAGAAAGCAAGACAATATTCCATTGTCCACTAAATTCAGTCCACCATAGGGACCATAGGATATAATATCTTCTTTATTTGATTCAACTGTCTAAAATAGCAACAACCTTTTAAAAGCTTTTGCCTTTCATAAGTATCATTTATTGGTAAAATGCTAAAGTGCTAACCACAAAACCACTACACTTCAATGTAATCCTTTTGTCTCTTAATTAATAGTACCTTTTATGTACTATTTGATTCAATAAGAACAATACAGAGAGATGAATACAAAAACATTTAAAAAGACTCACTTAATAGTCAAGTCACTGTTTTAAGGAGTGGGGAGACACTACTAATATTGTAACATTATAATCATACCAAACTTTTTATTTTCTTTCGTCATGTTTAATTTATACTTTTCTAACAACAACAATGGCCGGAGCAAAGCCTATTGATTCGCCAGTTTGCTAACCTACTTTGTCGGCTACGTGCACTCTGTAATCAGAATAGAGCTCTGGACTTAAAACCGCCCGCTTATAGAAGTCTGGAAGGCGGCGCCTAAACTAGTGAGTGACATTCCACACATGAAAATTTATGAGCTTTTTTTTCTCATTTGCTGGTTGGCTCATGGCTACTGCACCTCTGATATTCACATTGGTTATCAGGTAAGTCTTGCTATACCAACATCATATAGCAGAGGATTTATAGGCAGGGCTTTTCTTATGGAAACTGATCACAACCAAATTGGACCAAATTTTAGAGGTGCAATCAGTGTTGAAGCCAGTAATGATAAATACACATGTTCACTTGATGTTTTTCTGGGAGATGTAAAGGTTTGGAGTTCTGGTCATTTGTCACAATTCTACACAATAGACAAATGTACACTTCAGCTAACTCAGTATGGAGACTTATTGTTGAAAGGGGGTCTAGATGATAGAGTTGGATGGAAAGCTGGAACTTCAGGACAAGGTGTGCAGGTAATTAGTTGTCAATCGTTAGATACAAATCGTAGGCATAATTCATAAATATGTCTTTTAACTTCGTTTTAGCTGACATCTATGTTCTCCAACTTTGAGTGTGCACAAGTAGACACTTATTTTGTATAAAATTGAATAAGTAGAAACACACGTAATACGTTGCATAATAATACATAGGGCGCCATGTAGGATACGAAATTGCTATGTAGGATGTCATGTAAGACGCATGTGTTTATTTTGTTCAATTTTATACAACTTTAAGTGTCTAGTTGTACATACCCAAAGTTGGAGGACATAGATGTCAACTGAAGCCAAGTTGAAGAACACGTATATATTATATATATATATATATATATATTATGCCTATATGCAACAAAAATATTGAATTTTCTTATGGAAAATAGCATGGCTTAGTATGCTAAAATATGACTTCTTCTGCAGAGACTGGACTTACTTGGGACAGGTAATTTGGTGTTAGTTGATGCTATGAACTTGATTAAATGGCAAAGTTTCAATTTTCCAACAAATATTATGCTTTGGGGTCAGAGACTAAGCTCAAGAACTCGGTTAACGTCTTTCCCTAGCAACTCTAATTTGTCATATTCTTTTGAGATTCAGTATGACAAGATTGCATTGTACTTATCCTCTGAAAAATTGAAATACTCGTACTGGGAATATACACCTTTGGACTTAGATGGACTGAATATCACGTATGTTGAGTTAACTTCTAACGCGCTAGAGATATTCAACAACGAAAACTATAGAATTGGAAGGATAACATCAGACAAGACAGAGCCCTTGAGATTTTTAGCATTGGGAAATAGCACAGGGAATTTGAGATTTTACTATTACTCATATGACAAAGGAAAGTTTGAAGCTTCATATCAAGCATTAAACACTAGTTGTGATCTTCCGTTGGCATGTAAACCTCATGGTATTTGTACATTTTCAGAGAAGTGTTCTTGCATTAGACTAATAAAAAGAGGAGATGGATTGCTTTCTGATTGCACTGAAAATGTAACAGAGGGAATTTGTGGAAGAAATGATTCCCAAATGCTAGAATTACAAGGCGTTACGAGTGTATTAAAAAGCAATCCTTATAAGGTTAACGTGACCAAAGAAATATGTGCAAATTTGTGCTTGGATAACTGTACATGTGTTGCAGCATTACATTTTTCTTTCGAGGATGATCCTGCGAAACCTGGAGAATGCTATATGTATGGACTAGCTAGAGGAGTTAAACAAATCGAAAGAGATGGAAGACTGAGTTATATGGTAAAGGTACCAAAAGGGACTGATCAAGGTCATGATAAGCACTCGCATTGGAAGAAATGGATTCCGATTGTTGTAGGAGTGGTTGATGGAGTTGTATTGATACTTGTTTTAGGAGGAGTTGGATACTATATAATACGAAAGAGAAGAAAGTCGTGCCCAGATACCGGTCACAGCAATTGACATTGTATAGATGGAATTGTTTTCATGAAAACATTTTCTACATGGAGATAGTCATTGACCAATTCTCATGAACTCGAGTGACAGATACTAAAATTGTAACCAAACAGTTAATTTGTTAACTTGGTTTGGCTTGATGAAATGCCTGAGATTGAGCAGAATCCGAAGAAATAGAAGTGTCAAAGGTATGCAAGCTATCTTTTCAGGGTTAAAATGTTGTTACTTCACAAAAGATTTTTTGATTCCTGAACTGACAAGTTGAATATGTTGATGTCTAAGGTTGGAGAGAAACGTCTACGATATTCTATACTTCAAAAATCGAGCAAAGCTTGAGTTACAAAATGCGCGGCCAAATGTCCCTACTATGAAATATATAAGTTGTTTTGCTCAATTTGTAAGCTAGATTCTTGCAATTCTCTTTTGATTTGTTATAGCTAGATAAAGAGAGATTCATGCTTCATCTAAGTTCTTCATAGCTCAGTGACTATTCACCTTGAATGAACAAAATCTACACTTGTAATATCTGGTGTTTAGCAACTAGCATACCAGTTCTTTCCTTATTTTCTGGCTTTTCTTTTTATGGTTTTCCAACCATGTTTGGTACCCACGTTGAAGACTGACTAAATCTGAATTTGTGTTAGAAAATTCCACATTGAGGGGGGAAAGCACTCCTTAACAAAGGCGGCTTCATACCAAAAGGTGATTGATGGTGTGTACTGTGTATATGTCCACGAACAGTCACTTGACTAGGTCCCTTGACCGAAAATAAATGCAGAAAGTAAACACCACAAGGTAAAAACACAACAGTTTTATGTGAAAACCCCTTTGCTCAAGGGAAGAGAAAACCACGACTTGTACTCGTATGGTTTCCAACCCAACTCCATTTAATGATAGAAGGAGCAAAGATTCAGATTACAAACTCATGTAACCTAGAAATTAGAACACTTTAATCACTTCCCCTTTAATGTAGCAACTCTATTACCAGTAACTTCTAAAGAATAGCTCTATTGCCCACTAAACTAACTACTCTAGTCGATCTAGACTTCAAGAACCCGACACAGCTAACTCTAGCTAATCTTTGTTGTATTCTAATATGAAAAACTAATATACTTCATTCATAACTTAGGAATAGATCTCACAAGATTAACCATTGAAATACAAATCCTAGCAACAACTAAGAACAATGATAACTCTATCAGATTCTTTAGCTTGTTCTTGAGCAACATTCCATTGCCAGAGGCTTTTTCCTTTTTGGGAGAAATCTCTATGAAAAAGCCTGTTTGTGATATGTGACGATACACATATTTATAGGATGAGCAAAAACATACAACAATTTCTTTGGTTGTGGGAATGTTGTACCATGGCATGGGAGTGGCGCACCAACCATAGCATGTTTTGCGGTCTTTTGGACAAATGTAGTTTTTTCTATAAGAAATTCACAATCTCGTTAAAAGATTAGGTCCAAAGTTTGTTCAATCATCAACACTTTAGATATGGAATAGATCTTTAGTTAAGGATGAAAGAGTACTTGTCACTCCACCACAATCCCTATTGACCATTTTCTAGCTTTAAAATCAATAAATTAGAGGTTTCTAATTCATACTATACACAAAACACATCTCCCTCACCTTTCTTTCTTCTTCTTTTCAGTTGTTATAAGTTATAGTCAAGCAATGTATCATGACAAAAACAAAGACAATGTAAATTTATAATAATGGGAAGTAAAGCAAATGAAAGAAAGTAAATATTTAACATGATACTGGTCAATCTTAAGTTATATATATATATATATATATATTACCATCGACTAATGAGTAATCTCTTAACAAGAAATCGTAATGATACAAATACAGAATATATACTGATTTAGAATTTACTCAGCAAAATTACCAGTTTTAGTGATATTAATATAGTATATAGAACTGATTTAGTATCAATTCGACAAAATTGTCAGCCTTAATGATACAAATACAATATATAATATTGATTTAGTATCAGTTAAGCGAAATTATTAGAAAATTTTCACATAAAGTCACTTAATAAATAGTTAATTACTCTCCATAGCTATAATTTGACAATTACAATTTGTCGCTACATGTTATATGTAGGAGAGAGGAGAGAGAGGGGGGAAGAGTGAGAGAAAGGTGAATTGTATATGTATAATGGTTAGATAATTGCATTTTATACATATGTACTTGTATATATGGAAAGAGAGATTGGGAGAAGGAGGAGAGAGCCGAGCGGGAGAGAGTAGAGAGTGGGAGAGGGCAGAGAGTGGGAGAGGGCAGAGAGTGAGAGAGAGGTGAATTGTATATGTATATAATTGTATATTATACATATACATTTGTATATATGGAAAGCAAGATTGAGAGAGGGAGGAGAGCGGAGAGCGAGAGAGGGTAGAGAGTGGGAGAGGTGAATTGCATATGTATATACGTTAAATAATTGTACATTATATATATGTATTTGTATATTCTAGTGAATTTAATACATATACAAACCTGACTAATTATACAAACTCGAAACCAGCCCAAGTAATTAATGTATAATGTTAGTTCCGAGTGGTAATTATAGAAAGTATAGTTGTGATGAGTAATTAAACAGTATAAGTTTGCTTAGTCGCTTCATTTTCTCAAATTAGTAGGGAAATATATAGTGTAATTATTTAGTGGAATACGAATGTAAAGGGATTTGTGTTTGTAATTATTTTTATTTTATGGATTATTTCCTTAGTTTCCCCGCAAATTAATAGGCCTAATATAAATAAGTCTCTAAACCTTTTCTTTTTCTTTTTTTTCGCAAAAACAAAATCTTAATAAATCAAGAGTTTTTGTAAGTGTTAAAAAAAACTTTGTAAGTTCATTTATCGAATTCAAATTGATAAAAGTAACGAGGATTTGAAAACTCCAAACTAGAAATTTCAAATACAACTTGCAGCCTTTTTGTAATTTGGAACTCACCTTAATGGGATACCAAAAACTGAAATTAATTTAAAATCAACTGGTGACGCAAACTAGTTTAATTTTTCTTATACAATTCAATTTTTTAATTGATTTAAAGAAATTGATTTATGTCAAAAATTCAATATATAATACATGTTTGCTATAATCTGATTCGGGCTCAAGCCCAATTTATTCTGCTTCATCAATCAAACTGAGCTTCTGCCTTCAATTGAGCCTAGACACTAGCACGGTTGGAAGGTAACTGAGGGAGTATGCCTATGAGCTGCGTATCGGTCGCTTTGATTCTTTTTTACTACTGATTTGTCGATATGTTAAATCGCATAGAATCATTAATATATTGACTTATTGATTAATGATCGTTATTGATTTACCCATTAAAATTTGACACAAAAAAATGATTGAAAATTATTTACAAACACGACGACGAACCAAATAAACCATTTACATGGATTTATAGATTGTATCTTGCTGAAAAACAACACTAATACATTGTGGAATAACCAAAAATTTGAGATTGTTAGAAATAAAAAATATGAAACTAAATTGTAAATTTTTCGTCAAGGACTTTATATATCGAATGGTATAAATATAATTTTACTATTGGGTTATCAGTTATCCTATTTTTTTTAAAAAAAACTCAAAATGTTAATAATCAATACTCTAATGATAAAAAAAAGTCAAAATTGTTAAATCAATAGCTCATTCCTGATAAATTAATAACTACTTATTGATTGAGGTTATCAATTTTATTTAAGATTTCTAACAGTCTTATGCAAAATGCAAATATATTGTTTGGAGAATTTCGTGGACAAGTAATATTTTGCTATTATCTACCTAAAGTACCATTTTGGTTTACAAAATCTGTTGATGAAACTTTTAATGTGATAAGATCCCTATTTTGATGGCATATTTAGTTGTTTTATTTGGAAAAATTATTTGATTATATATATATATATATACATTTTTAATATATCGACTAATGAGTAATTTCTGAACAAGAAACCTTAATGATATATGCATACACTCTTATAGTATCATTAACTTATAGTAAATTTCTGAACAAGAAACTCTAATGATACCACAACAATATACATGTACTATTATAGTATCATTGACTAATGAATAATTTCTTAACAAGAAATCTTAATAATACCACAACAATATACATATATTCTTATAGTATCATTAAAAAATAAGTAATTTCTAAACAAGAAACCTTAAAATTAAAAATCTTTCAAAAATCGAACTATAATATTCAACATGTCTTAAAGTTAAATTGTCCAGAGCGAATAATATATCAAAATATTTGAAACATATCATAAAGTTAAATTATCCAGAGTGAATAATATGTCAAAATATTTGGAACATGTAGAGGAGCTCATATAAATCCTAGATTATTTATAGGAGATTTGATATGGTTGAAATTGAAAAAAGAAAATCTAGCTTGCTAAGAAAGATGGACTAGTGCAATCTATCAATATTGTATATCACTGTATATGAATGTTGATATATATCTAATACATAATTGTATTATTTATATATCATATACAGTTATACACTATTTATACAATATTGAATATTTTTTTACCGAAAATACATTTACATAAGAAGCCCAAAGAGAAAACCAACGAACATAAAAGAAAGAAGAAAGACCAACAAAAAGGTCTACAAATTCGGGATATCAATTTCTTGGGCAATTCGATTAGCAATATTTTGCACCGAATCACCATTTATGTCTTTATTCCTATATATTAAATATAGGGCAATTTTTACGTATAGAAAATAAAAAATTCGTATTTGTATGCTATAGCAAAGTTTGTATAATTACGCTTCATAAACATAAAAATTGTATAATTCGCTATACATATACAGTTGAAGCAAATTGTATAAAACAAGTGTATAAAACAAGAAAGAGAAAGACACTTGGACAGAGAAATGTATAAAAACGAAGTGTATAAAAGGAATTGTATAATTATAAGTGTATAGAACGATTATATACAATTTGAAATTGTATAAAATGAGAAAGAGAGAAAGACAAAAGAGACTTAACAAGGAATATACAATTGAATCGAATTGTATAAAACGAGAAAGAGAGAAAATAGATACAATTTGAAAATTGTATAAAATGAGAAAGAGAGAAAGGCAAAAGAAACTGGGCAGATAAGTATTTTTATTGTATAATTATAAGTATAAAGGACGAAAATATATGTACTTGCATGTGTATATACAATTTTCTCACGCTTTATACAAACAAAAACGCAATTTATACATTTCGCTTCTGTTTGTATAAGTGAGAAAGGCGAGGGTGGTGAGCGAAATTTGGGAGAGTGACGAGTGAGATATGGAAGAGGAGAGAGAGGGGAACAAAAATACATGTATTTGTACAATTTTCTCTGCTTATACAATTAGAAACAATTTTTATACACTTGTGTTTGTATAAAAAGTGAGGAAGCGAGCGAGAGTTTGGAGGAGAATGGCAAGCGAGATACTTGGAAGAGAGGCGCCTGACAATTTTTTGCAAATGTTTGATATGGAGCACAATTAAATCAAACCCTAGCTACTCCATTTATTTTAAATTATTAATTTGCTATTATATA